GAGTGAGACTCAAAAAAAAAAAAAAAAAAAAAATTACCTGACCAATGATCAGGCAAAAAATGTGTATACATGGCAATTTAATCTGTGCTAAAAAAAATTTTCAGATAACTAGGAATAACATAAAACAAAAATGGGGTGGAAAAGTTAACGTTTGAAAAAAACTGAAGGGTCTCTACCTCACACCATTCACAAAAATAATACTAAGCAGTTTAACAGCTAAACAAAAAATAAAGTATTAATGTTAAGAAAAGGCATCAGATGTAAAAGCATAGTTTTCTATATATCAAAAAATGAAAATAGAGTATATAAATTTAGTTGGCCCTCTGTATCCATGGGTTCTACATTCATGGCTTAAACCAACTGTGAATCACATTTTGTCCTAAAGTAGTGCTACTCATCACGTGGTCCTCGGACCAGTGCTGGCCCATGAACTATTTCCATTCTGCAGGTAAGCACGGAAACTGTGTTTAGAAAGTTATAGCAATTTGACAGAATAACTTTATTATTTAGCTGAATCTAATAAAATCTGAGTTTATATTTTTTTATGTCTTTTTTCATTTATTGAGTAATTCACTTTTTATTGAATCATGTAAAAGCGTATGTCTGTAGTAAATTTTTAACCCTTTGCACTCAGAGACATCTCACAGTTCATCTAACAACTTGACTGCACTTTATGAAACAGTAAAAAATCAATCTCTTCATATTAAATAGTGCAGCATTGGAGCCAATTATTTTGTTGCAATGATATTTGGTTTACAATGGAATTTTGGACATTGAGGAACTTATGACAAAAAAATCAAAATTTTGTACCTTATATTTTTCTAATGTGTGAAACAATCACTGACATACATTGCAGGTTCATTGATACATGTTGTGCAGTAGTCACTTCTTTGATGTCTTCCACCTGATGTTTTTCTATTCAAGTAGACAATGTAGTCTCATTTTCTTCCTCCCACATGAATAATATGTAATTTATTGTCCAATCTGTTCACAGACGATGTGGAAGGACACACTTGTGATCCTGAAAACTACTTCTCAACTAATCGACCCTTTAATATGGTACTTAAAAAGTATAAGGCTACAGTAACCTGTTTATCTAGCTGCCTTTATCACTACCTTTTATTATACAAACAAATTTCAGCACCACTGTAAAAGTGATTCACACATTCTCTTTCTATATGATAGCAGCTGATTTTTAAAATATATCTTTAAGTATATCTCAGTATATATTCCAGCTATTTGTTTTGTGTGACTTAAATGGAGAAATTCAGGAAAAATACATTTTTGAAAAATCTGTGCTTGCATAAGCAATTTTTTTATGTTCCCTCGGGGGACATCTGAGTGTTTTTCTAGATTTACGATGTCCCTTCAGAGAGGACATCCTAGTGCAAGAGGTTACAAAAGTCCTTTACAGTTTGAGAAGCACTCCCTTAAGTATTCATATAGATGCAGAATTTGCTTGGCATGGTACAAAGCAGATGGCAACTTGGAGTAAAATGTAAACTCTGGCATTTAAGAATTTTGGAGTATGGTTCATTCAGTTACCTAGCTTAAAAGGCGGATTAAAAGTTAAGTCTAATCCAGGATGGAAAAACTTTTCCTTTAAAGAGCCAGAGAGTGGTCAAGCATGGCAGCTCATGCCTATAATCTCAGCACCTTGGAGGGCCAAGGCGGGAAGACTGAGTCCAGGAGTTTGAGACCAGCCTAAGCAACATAGGGAGACCTCATCTCTACCAAAAAATAAAAATTAGCTGCGAATGATGGTGATACCTATTATCCCATCTGCTTAGGAGGCAGAGGTAGGAGGACTGCCTAAGCCCAAGAGGTCAAAGCTGTGATTGTGCCGCTGCACTCCAGCCTGGGTGACAGAGTGAGACCCCACTCAAAAAAGAGCCAGATAGTAAAAAATATCTTAGACCTTACAGACCGTATAGTCAGTTGCTATCATATTTATCCAACTTTTCTGCTCTAGTGTGAAACTGATTTGGCCCGTGGGTCATAGTTTGTCAATCCCTGGTCTAAACCCATTTCAAAATCAATGTGAAGAAAATACACTCAGTGCTGCAATAATTTTACTCATTAAAGTCAACATTTCTTCTCTGTAACCACTGATACATTCCTGTTAGCTACTACTGAAATCCAGGTGTGAATCTACCAATTTCAAGTTCTATGCTAAACTATACTTTGCAGTTATAGCTATAATAAAAGTTTCATATTCTGCACCCTTCTTAAGGCCATAGCTACTCCTCCACTACCACTGTACAGTTAAAGAATCATGAATCAGTCATGTGTATATGATATAAGGGCCTTGGAATGCTGTTCTGACTTCTCATACAGAGCCAGTAGCATATATTTACCAATTACAGAAATCAAAATATCACAAATGCATCTTAATGCCACAGTTAACTCCCATTAAATTTTAACAAATAAGGTAGAATCAGAAAGCACTTCACAGAAAATAGCAGTTTCACCATTCCTATTACCTGCCCAAATTCCCAACTGCTTCAACTCCTAAAAGATTAAGTATAATCTTTCAAATAAGTAGATCTTTCAATTTGTAAAGCATGAATGCAAATTTTATGGTCATTTCTACATTCAGCCTACAAATCAAGAGACATAACAGCACATTTTCCTATTAGTTCTGTCTTCAATATCAAGCTTTTGGCTGACAGAGAATATGGCAAGTTTCCCTAATTGAGCTAACAGAAATGAGTCTGGAACAGTATACCTGTTTCTCAGACCAAAAACTAAAAGAGTAGGAAAAGGTTGACAGATTCCCTGGGAAGACCCTGAATCCCCACAAGAAATAACAGAACAGGACAGGGTCTGCAAGCCAAAGAACACATGAGTCATAGCAGGATCAGATCTGTATGATGAAACTACAATCTTGTTTAAGTTTAATCCTGCAAGAAATGTCTAGTCAATTAAGAAATCTGATTTAATGGGTCAATTTTCGGGAAATGAGCAAGTATTTACCAATGGAATTGTTTAAGAACCATCTGGACAGTTATTTCTATTCCTGTATAAGATGATTATATCAGCTTACGTAATTGCATTAAGCGCAAGCTCAGCAGAATGACATCGCTCTAACTTCTGTTTCAGAACAGCAACTTCTTCAGATCTGGGTGGTTCATACTTCTTTACTAAGTTTCTCATGCCTATGTGGAGATAGAAAAAGGATTTAACTTGAACAGTAAAAGAACTTGTGTTCATAGAAAGGGAGCTGAAAAATTACCCATCTTTTTATAAGAAACAACACAACACTCTTGAAAAACATGATTACTCTTATCAGGATTTCTATAATTTTCTGTTAAAATCCAATAAACACCATATTTTTAGTTCACAAAATGCCCTCTGCTGCTTAGCCTATGTCATGTACAGCATAAAGATAAGCATGGTGCATAATCTAGTCAGTATTAATTTCTTACAAATCCTACCATGGTTACTTCTTGCTTAGTTTTAAGGCTTACAAAAAAAGTTCCTAAGTGATTTAGTTAATATGATTTGCTCCCTACCACCAACCACACTCATAATATTCTATCCTACAGATGGTGGGCCACGAGTGTACCTCCTGTTTATGTATTTATGAAGAACACCATTATTATACATAATTATTATTATATACATATTATTATACGTAATAAAAGGAGCACAATAAAAAAAACATGCCAACGATCCTCTGCTTTAACAAAATTCAGAACCCCCCATACAAAAATATCCTCTTTACATTAAAAACATAGTACTATATCAGTGACTTTGTATTCAAAAAACATCTGGTAGCTGACCTTGTTTGTTATTCAACTATATAACAAACCAAAGAATATAAATCTCAAGATTTATTAGGAGAATGATGAAAGATCCAGGACTGCTGATTATTAGCCAGCCGTATGCTCCAAATGGGTAACTACATTGCTGACTTATTTCATAATGCAAACAAAGCAGTGTTTTTAACTGATTTAACACTTGTGACTTGACACCCTCAGGACAATATTTATGGTCTAAGAAATTATAAATATCTTAGTATCATTAAAGCTCTCAGTATTTTATTAAGAGCTATTTTACTTCATATTAAAATAAGTGGAGCAAAATAAACTGTTGAGAAGAAGCCAGTAATATACATGTAAGCGATAATGAATACAATGGAGTAACTTTATGGCCCCTTATACCTACTAAATTCTAAGATCCTAGTATCTAGAACCACATCACAATTACCTTTGAAAGTGAACCCTCTAGTGGTATAACTGAAGACCTACAGTTTAAAATTCATAAATCACAAACCTGTTATTCTCAAAGAGGGAAGCCCTCAAGATCACTTCAGAGAATTTTTTAAGAAAAGATACCCATATACCCGGAAGCACCTTAACATTTAAAACATATAAACTATTATCCAAGATCAAGATCTTAATCTTACATTTTATCAGTTTTTTTAACATTTAATTACAAATCAAATTAACAATAAAAACAACTGCCATAAAAAAGTTTGGGAACAAACAAAACTGACTTTTACCCTAAAGAGTAGCATGGGAGCCATGAGCATTCAGTGTGCCATGAGTGAGAATGAAGAATGGAGAGGGCTGGCCAATCCAGCCAATCACTTGAGATTCTAGTCTCAAGACCACCAGCACTTATAACATTTGGGGTTGGAAGACTGTATTAGCTTCCTAAGGTTGGTATCTTTAACAAAAGGAATGTACTCTCTTACAACTCTGGAGACCATGAGTCTGAAATCAGTTTCACAGGGGCCAAAATCAGTGTCAACAGAGTCATACTCTCGAGGATCTAAGGTAAGGGCAAATCCATTCCTTGCCCATTCCAGCTTCTGATGCTCCAGCATACTTTGGCTCGCAGCCACATCACACCAGTGTTCAAAGCCAGCATCTGCAACTCTCTCTCTGCTGGCCTAACTCTGCTTTCTCTGAGTGTGTCAAATCTTCCTCTACCTTACCTTTTATAATGACCCTTGCAGCTGAAGTTAGTTACTCCAGGCTGTGACATCATTTCAAGATCCTTATCTGCAAAAACCCTCCACCCTGTTTGGTTTTTGCCATATAAGGTAACATTCACAGGTTCTAGGGATTAGGATATGGATATCTTTTAGAGAGCCGTTTCCAGCCTCCCACAGGGCTGTCCTGTGCTCTGAACGATGTTTAGCAGCATTCTTTCAGCCACACACTAGATGCTGGGAGGAGCCACTACAACCTTCCAAGTTGTGACAGCCAAATTACAAAACTCTCCCGATTAAGAACCATAGCCTTTGTAATATCAACTACCAAAATGACTAGAAAATGACATATATTAACTAATTAAAACTGATTTATCTATAAAACAGTTCCACATTCAAGCATTATCCTTAAGTGACTCTTTAGATATTTTTCAGTGCCTGATGTTTATTCTTTAAAAGGATTCCTGTTTTAAATGTAACCCCTTTCAGAATCTGATCACATTTTCACTCTTCCCCTAAGTTCTTCATGTCTGAGAACTACTTCCTTCCTTGTATCTTCTACTTGTACTACACCAATGTATTTCATGCTTCCATAGTACAGTAATTCAACCAAAACAAATCTAAACAAAAATCTGTTGTAGCTTATGTAGAATAATCTGTTAAATATTATGTAATAAGTAGCTTTGTAATGGAAGAACATTTTGTAAAGTGTTGTTTTACTTACTTTTCATTATATCTAGTAACTGTGACAAGCAAGTTCTGTTCTCTCTGAGCATTAGACTCTCTGATAAATAACTGGTAAAGAAAGGAAACAAGTTTTAATCTATTGAAAACAACAGCAGAGATAAAACATAACATCAAACTATTTTCTTCCATGTTCATTTCGTCGACAACAATTTTAAAATTAATTTAGTTTAAAAGTATTATAAATAATACTCTGAACTCTATAAAAACATAATTTACAAGTCTTATAATAAGACAAAAGGATTTGCTCTTGCCAAAAAATAGCACACCTTTCCACAATTAAAATCTTGCCTATTTGGAATTATAACTAAACTTCTAAGATAAAATAAATTCTCATCTGCATCTTAGGAAGCTTGATTCTGTTCCATCTACATCTACATAACTAAAATGTCACCATTGTACTATGGAAAAATATGCATATACAAGGGAGACCCAAAAAAACTGGAATTATTTCTTTGGATGGCAAACCCCCACTAAGTAAGTGTTCTAGGAACCCATGGGCATCAGATGTACCAGCAAGCATTGTTTTGAGAGCTTGTGTTCGTCTTCAGTGAATTTTTTTTTTGAAGAGTCTTTCAAAGAGTTTTTCCCATTTCATGATGGGCAACTTACAAGTGTACCTGCCCACAGCAGGCTGAATGTTCAGCAGTTTCTGATCACAAATGATATGACCTCCCTGTGCCCCACCCTCCCTAATCACCTGATTTCCCACCAGATGAAAAAAAGTCTTCAAAGGAGAATGTTTTGCTGATGTGGAAGAGGTGAAACAAAAAATGGCAAAAGTACTAAAAGGCATCAAAAATGGACAAATTTTAAAACTGTGTTAAGCAGTGGAAAAAGCATCTCAATAGGTGTATTGCATAAAACAGAAAGTACTTTGAAAGTGACTGAAGATCAAACATGGAAGAATAAATACAGAACTTTTGATAAATAAATTCCAGTTTTTTGGTGTCCCCCCCCCAAACACTGCATGTAAGATGCTTGAACAGATTAATCAAACTTTTGGTTAACTGAATTGAGAAAAAGAGGGCTTTTTTCCCTTACAGAATGGCAGTCCACATCTAAACTCTATAGACATCCATTATTCACATGGCTATCTTTCCTAAGGCAGGGATTTATATCTTGCTCTTTCTTATATTCCTAAAGTGTAGTACATTACACAGTAATACATAGAAGACATATAACAGATGTTTGCTTAGTAAATATATGGAGTATATATAAATCACTTTGGGATTCAATGTATTAATTTATATACAGTTGATGAGCAGTATTTGTCGAGAAGGGGAAGATCATAAAAAAAATAAGCTCCCAATCCCTTATCTTGGATACAGATGTGTTTTGAAATTCTTAACTGCTCATGTCTTAGAAAAGTAACCTTTTTATATTATGAAATGTGAAAGAATATTAGCATTAAGACTTCTTAAGAAAATATTCCTATTAAGCAGGATAAATGAAATCACATTGAGAAATTTAATGCAAAAAACTAAAAAATAATCTAATTTGTTGCTAGCCCATGCTTCAGTTAGTTACAAATGAATATGGCAACAAAAATATGGGTTTAATGTATAATTTCGACAAGTCATGCATGCTCTGCACCAGGGAAAAAATGACAAAACAAGGCAGACATGTACTGCACTCAAGTTGCTTTTCAGTTTGTATAACTTCTACACTTGGCATATACTGATAGCCATATCTGTCTTTCAAGGATCACTTGGCTTACTACTACTCTGGTCATTAATGTACCTCCTTAACTCATAAAAATTCTGCCAAATTTTTAAAGATTTCCTTAAGGTGATTTCATTTCTTCTTTCACCAAACTTCCCAGTTGCAAGAGAGGTTAGGGACTACTGTCACAAATAAACC